ACGGGGACAGAACACCCTGTTTGTTCCCCAAGCTTTGAGCATTTGTATATAAGCATTTAAGACTTTTATGCCTGCCAAAAAAATGAGTTGGGCCAGTCCCTTTCTGAGTATATTTTTCCCTATTTTTGTGAGGTGCAGTACATCCCTTGTCAAGAGTCCTTCTTGTAGGTAATGCAGTCCATGGTCCAGGAAACCAAAGTTTTTTTGGCGACACCAACCCTTTAGCCAGTGATTTATTTCTAGAATTCTTTTTCCCCTCTTTTTCCCCACCTTTCATTGGGAGTACTGATGAGAACACTACTTGTGCTCCTAGCTCCTTAACTTTATTGCCTAATAATCTCTCAATATTGTGCTCAGGTTCTTTGTTGTGTCATTCATCCATATCTAAAAGAGGAGAAAAGGGTAGTAATCTGTGGGTCAGACACATTTTTGTTTTTTACTCCAGGGAGACAACATACCTCTCTAGATTGTACGTCTGGTCTGCAATTGCTGGTTCTGTTCCTCCAAGAATAGAATCTCCTATCACCAACACTTGCTTTCCTTTTGTGGGGGGGGGGGCAGTCTGAGGTGCTTTCCTGTTTATAATAGGTGTATTTGATGATATGACTTATTAAGAGATGTTTGATGATGATTCTTTTCTAGGTCTCTGCATATTTTCTTTGAGGGGGAGGTTGTGGGTCTGCGTATTTTCATCTAGGGGGAGAAATAGATTACTCAGTTTTAAAGGGTCTGCTTCTGGATGGGTTAGACTGGGCAGTATTTATTTATTTATTTATTTTATTAAATTTCTATACCGCCCTACTCCCGAAGGACTCAGGGCGATGAACAGCCACAGAATAAAACACATAAATACAAAAATTTAAAATAGAATAAAAACGAATTAAATAATTTGGCTGAAAAAATTTAAAATACCCCATAATTTAAAACAAATTAAAATTTACATTTAAAAAGGGGAGAAGATTTAGGCCAGGCCAGCTTGATGAAATAAAAAAGTCTTAAGCGCGCGACGGAAGGTGCGCAGATCCGGGATCCTCTGTATCTCCGGGGGGAGCTCATTCCAGATCGTAGGTGCCCCCACAGAGAAGGCTCTCCCCCTAGGGGCCACCAGTCGACATTGTTTGGCCGACAGCACCCGGAGGAGCCCCTCTCTATGGGAGCATACTGGCTGGTGGGAGGCTATTGGTGGTAGCAGGCGGTCCCGTAGATAACCAGGTCCTAAGCCATGGAGCCAGTAGGGGTTTGTTAGAACTTTGCTGCTTCTTTCTTTATCGTGTTTCCTTCTATGTGTGACATGCCTCCACTTTTCTTCCTCCAAGGGTTTATTCAGAGTCAAATCCTCTAGGAGTTATTTGTTCATTATTTGGTTTGATTTGGGTATAGCTTTCTTTGCGTAGGTTGGACTTTGGCTAGAGTTGCCTCTAGATCCTTTACTTTTTTTCCTTACATTTAATTCATGTATAATTTGGGTGTTCTTTGGGTATAAGCACATACATGGAACATATACTGCATACCACAATAGTATCAGTCACCTGTTCCATGAGTGTGTTTTTGCTGATTCTTTTAAGGATTAAAAAATAAGTAAAAGTAGAAGATTTTATCTCAATATATATTTGAAGAAAGTGAAAAAATAGTTTAAAAATGTTTCATTTGGGTCGTTCATTTAAGGATGTGGAAGATATTGTCAGTTTTTCAGAAGAAAAATTTAAGTTAAAAATTAAAAATGTAATAATTCATCTAAAGTTTTCAAAATGTAAAAGTTTAAAATCCATTTTTGTTTGTTGATGGAGGTATAGTGCTTTGCTCTTAGCCTTATTTCTATCTTCTCTATTCTAGGTAATTATCCCTATTTTTTAAATCCCTTTTTCTGCCTTTCTGTGCTCGTTTTTCAGGCAGTCCCTCCAACAGTTATGAATGAGATACTTTTGTATCTGGAGTATTCTGGAATACTCTGGAAAACTGGAGTATTCCATTCAGTATCCATTTTCAGAAATCCAGACCTGCTTATTCACAAACAAAATGCCTTCAAGCCACAGCTCCCCCAGGCTGGAGCTGATGGGATTTTTTTTTTTAAAAAAAGTAGAAAAACAAGACTCCTAAAATCTACATTCCCCACCCAGCTCTAAGGAGAGGACGTGACCTTTTAGAGATAATAGGATTAACCCACCACCATTGAAATAGTAAAAAACACAAGGCTCATCTCATTGCACAACCCTCTGGAGCATCTCAATCACAAAACCCTAGAACCCTACAGCAATAGCAATAGCACTTAGACTTATATACCGCTTCACAATGCTTTATAGCGCTCTCTAAGCGGTTTAGAGTCAGCATATTGCCCCCAACAATCTGGGTCACTTTACCAACCTTGGAAGGATGGAAAGCTGAGTCAACCTTGAGCCTTGAACTGCCAAACTGCTGGCAGCCAGTGATCAGCAGAAGTAGCCTGCAGTACTGCATTCTAATCACTGTGCCACCACAGCTATAAAAATCCATTCACTCACCCGGCCACTTGGCCAGCCATCCCATAAACATGTTGCTGTCACTGAAGTTTCTGGAAACCAAATAAAAGACCTTCTTTCCTTGTAGCCAGCCTCCATTTTATTTCCAGCATTTTTCTCCTGGTTTGGAACCAGACTGGATTTTTCTTCCTATATTCTGTTGCTGGTTGCCTCCAACTCAGCGTGCAGCTGTTTGTTCACTGCACTGCTATTTTGCTGATGTTTTCCTCCTTACCCCCAATTTCTTCTTTTCCTTTTTCCTTTCTATCTTCTGTAGGAGGTTAGCACCCACCCCTTTCCTAGAAGAATGAAATATTTTGGGAAATATTAAAAAGGCAGAATATTATATTTCCCTGGATGAGAAATGGAGAAGCATATTTTACAGACAAAGCAGCTCCCACCTTCCTGCCCCCCACCCTTTGTTAATGGGCCAGAAGCAGAAACTCAATCCTTTGTCAAAGGACATTTGCAACACAATAGCAACAGAAACTAACACAATGGGCCCCATCTAGCAACCGAAACTCACCACATGTGACCTGGGAAGCATGTGACCTGGGAAGCACATGTGACCATCAGCCAGCAAGGCTAGCTAAGACCCCCACCCCCTGGAAGTCTGACAACCAATCAGGATACTCTTCCGGGGCCCCAAGAAATGCAAAGCCAGAGAGCATAAAAACCCGAGGATTTACTGTATCTGCCCTTTTTCTGTTCAGGAACTCAAACCATGTGATCCTGTCCACCATTAAACCATCTTTCCAAGCAGTCTCCATGTTTCCAGTGTCTTTTTCCCCACTTGGAGCAGAACCCAGAAGGATGTTTCTTCCAACACTTCCTTATCTAACTTTCTGCTCCTTTTTTCTCCCTTTTTTCCCTTCTCCTTATACTTTCCTACTTAATTTAGTAACTTTTCTCCCTGCGATCTGATGCTGCTTCTTCCACTGCCACCATCTTGGATTCAAATCTTTATATAGTTTTCCTGTTAAACTAGGTGTTTTGCAGCTTGTATTCTTTCATTTCCCACTCTGAAGACCTAGCTAATTTTTGCCTATGTGCCTATCTTACATCCTCCCTTTATGCTACAATTTCCATTGTAGCTTGGCAGAATAGAAAAACTATTCAGTAAGTTTTCACTGCAGAGCAGATTCTGTGCCTGAAAATTCATCATATTGATACACTTGTCAATCCACATTACTAGCAGCTCATGTGCGTGAATAATTCTTCTTTCAATTTGTGGGAAGCCCTCACGCCCACCCCCACCACAGAAGAATGAAATATTTTGGGAAATATTAAAAAAGGCAGAATATTATATTTCCCTAAAGGAGAAATGGAGAAACATGTTTTTAGAAGCAGGAAGCCACCCCCAAGTCTTTCTTAATAGTCCACAGCAGATGCCAGCCCTTAAGAGATAAAGAGCTTATTGAAAGAGGAAGACAACTATCTAGATAACTCCATTCATAAGCAAAGCAAATACTGCAGGCAGAAATCCATTCAAGACAGGATAGTTTGAAACTGCTGGCAGCAAAGTTTGACAGCTAACAAAAGCAGAGTGATAGGATTAGAAGCATCCCCTCACCCAAGATCCAACACAGGACAAAAGCCATTAGCCACAATAGAAATTGCTCAACACCCTTTCAGAACACAAGCTCCTTCATTGCACCCCCCCCAGAACAGTCCAAACTTCAAAGTCACATAGAACCTTTTCATCCATTCATTCAACTGGTTGTTCAGCTGACCCAGAACTGTCTTTGTGGTTCTGTTCAATAAACCATCTTTTCAATCAGCCTCCATATTGTTTCCAGTGCCTTTCTCCCAGCTTGGAACTGAACCAGATGGATTTTCCTTCCAACGAATTTTATCTTTCCATGCAGGAAAATTGGCTGAGAGCATAAGATCTTAGTGAGCTTAGAAGGCTGGGTGAGGATCAGTATTGTTAGGCTTGGAGAAACTGAGAATGGGTGTGAGCCAACCAAAAACATCCAGACAATATGGGGGCTGGAGAACGTTTTTATCTTACAGGATGGAGGGAGCCTAAAGGTCTTTGGGCCCTCCTGTTTCAGAGAGCCACAATGAGATCTTTCAGAATCATACTCGGGAAAAGTCATGCACTCAACTATAAATCATCACCATTTCCGGTGCCTAAAGCAGTACTGTTTCCGATCACACTGTATATGGGATTTCATACTTCTGTTTGTTCTTTTGAATACACTGGTATTTTACAGGCAGAATTATATTTCTATATGATATGATATATGATATTTCTATATGATATATGTATTTTTATATGAAAATATGACTTCCAATATGAATTTCATCGAATTTCGCATCTGGAAAAGAAGTTATCCAAAGAGCAATTTAAAGAAAGCAGTGATTGATCGAGCGAAAGAGGGCTGGAAAAACAAGGCCAGAGGAGGGCGGGGGCCTCGAAAGAAGAACGTCTCCTCCCCCCACCCCCGCTGTACCGTTGCCCTTTTAAAGCTCTTCCCTTCCTCCTCCCCTGCTCACTTCGCAGGGCTTTGATTGATTGAGCTGCAGTTGCTACGTTGGAATCTTTTGGGGGAGGACCTATTGGGGTCCTCCCAGGCAAATAGCAGGGAAAGGGGGGCTCTCTCTCGCCAGAAGGTGGGCCTAAAAGGAGGGCGCCACTTCCTGCCTGAAAATGAATGAGTCCATGGGGAAGGAGGTAGTTCCCCTCTTGATCAATTCATCTGAACAGTTGATCCAGGAGAAAACCCAGCTCTTTTTCTACCCAGGCGAAAAATAGCAACGGTTTGCACCTTTGTTCTGCGGTTCTGAACAACCTGCCACACCTCAAAGTTGCCTTTGCTGCTCGGTCCTCATTCCAGACGGCGCGATCACGGCAATTGTGGGCTGCTTGAGCTGATCTCCATCGCTTCCCCACCCCCTCTTCTCTCGCGCTTTCTCTCTTGCAAGATCCGGATTGTTCCTGATCTCCACGGCGTATCTGGAATGGTTTCTGCGGGTGAGTGTGCATTTTAAAATCGCAACCTAATCAGGATCTAATACCGGCTAACAAGGAAAAGGGCTTAAACGGAATCAGCAAAGATTTTTCTGCTGCTGAGTCATCCATCACTACCATGGGAAATATTTCATCCAATATCTCTGCCTTTCAATCTCTGCACATTGTCATGCTGGGTCTGGATTCTGCAGGCAAAACTACTGTGCTCTACAGGCTTAAATTCAACGAATTTGTTAACACGGTGCCTACCATTGGCTTCAACACTGAAAAAATCAAGCTAAGCAATGGAACTGCAAAGGGCATCAGCTGCCATTTTTGGGATGTAGGTGGGCAAGAGAAACTGAGGCCCCTGTGGAAATCCTATAGTCGTTGTACTGATGGTATCATTTATGTGGTGGACTCTGTTGATGTGGACAGGCTAGAAGAAGCCAAAACAGAGCTGCACAAAGTCACCAAGTTTGCAGAGAATCAAGGCACTCCGTTGTTAGTGATTGCCAACAAGCAAGACCTGCCAAAATCTTTGCCCGTGGCAGAAATAGAGAAACAGTTGGCTCTTCATGAGTTAACTCCATCCACCACTTACCATATACAACCAGCCTGTGCAATCATTGGTGAGGGCCTCACAGAAGGTATGGACAAACTTTACGAGATGATTCTCAAGCGCAGAAAATCCTTAAAGCAGAAAAGGAAACGATAAGGCAAGAAGAAACTGCATTCCATTAGATCATAGTCTGACTTGCTAGCTTGAAGTAGTTAAAAGTAGCAGTCAGATGCCGGTGTTTATATTATCTTCCATAGTATCACAGAGTCCTTCAAATATGCTGATTTTTTACAAGTTCAGATGATAACATTATGCTGACTACCATTTGGGATGCTGGTCAGATCTATGCATGCCAGTCTATCACTTCTATCCTGCTCTCAGGCCCCATGAGCCAGTAGGATAAGAGAAGGCCTCTTTGTAATATTCTAGCAGGACTAGAAATAAGGCAGGCAAGCAGAAACTTTTCGTATCAGTTGCTTCTTACCTTGTGAACTACAAATATGCAAGAGGCTCACCTCATTCTTTGGACAATTCCTGTTTTTTAAATATATGTATCTAACAGGAGAAACTACACTGGGAGAGAAAAATCAAAAAGCTTGATATGTCAGGGCAGGTCCCTGTTCCATTCAGATTAAGATTTGTGCTGGCATTTCAGGATGTTACTACATGGTGATGTGTGTGCATGCTCGATGGGACAAATGCTGTGATTAAGGGGAAATGTGCATTAAAAATACAGCATACATATACACACACACAAACACACACATAAAATATCTCTTATGGATGGCTCTTTGAACCACTTGTGGAAAACTATTTCTCAGCCTTACAACAAACTTACTTGTGGCTATTACCAAGATCAACAAATATGTAATCACTGAACGAATGAGGCTGGGCTACTTCCTGGAGTAATTTTTATGTGTTTGGAGGGAAGTAACCTATGTTCCCTGTCATTTCAGTTGAGTGTAAGGATATACATAGTGAGTGGACTGTTCTTTTTCTTTTTTTTCTCTATTGTCTTTTGGATGGGTTTTTAAAATTGGGTAAAGAGGGTTGTGTGTGTTATCATGTATTCCTATATTAAAAAACTTAAGTTGGTGGTGTGCTGATCCACTTGAATTAAAAAACGTGAGCTGCTTGGATCATTTGTGACCAGTAGCTGCCTCTTGGTGCTGCTTTATAAGCATTTCATTAGAAAATGTTACCTTTTCATAAGCCTAGACACTGTAGCAATAACCACTAAACAACTTTTTTAAAAATACCATGTCCTTCTTGTAACATTGAACTGTGGCCATATTGTGTTTCCAACATTTAATCTAATCAGACAATCTGACTCATAATTCAATTTATTACTTTATAATTAGATGACTTTCATACTCCAAAGGATTGCAACTGTGAATAGCAGTAAGGAAAATTCAGATTTGGCTGATTTTGTATAGAAAATCAAAGAAGATGTAGAACAAAAAGGACAATCTGAACTTTCTGCTGAGAAAAATCCCCAGTCTAATAAATTAACCTTCCTTCCTGTTTAAATCTATGGTTCACTGTTGTGATTGTCAAGAATATAGTAAGAAGCAGACATTAAAAACACTATGTTAATATTAATTTTAAAAGTACAGAAAAATTGACATTCCTTATGAATACTTGCAGTAATAATGCAATCTGTACATGTCTACCCAGTTGAATTATATCCAGCTACTTACATTTATTAGGAATTAACCCTTTTATATTATTATATAATAAAAGCAAACCTCATTTATAGTATTTATTTGTGAATAAGGATATATAGATCAAGCTCTAAGGCTAAAGTCTTATGTAGGCTTATTTGGGAGCAAGACCTATTGAACTTAGTTTTAATTGAGTCAATAATGACCTCCTTGGAAAAAAACCCATATTTAAATCAAGGATAAAGAATTGTGCAGAGAGATGATATCCCAAAAGTAAAAAAAACAAAAACAAAGAGTTTGACAACTTTAATTCTTCAGCTAATTTTAAAGTCTTGTGACAGAAAGGTTCAATCTCTTATTTTAGAATTACATCCATGATTCAGTTTTTAGGACATGGATTAGCCACTTTCTGATGAAATCATGTGCGTTCTAGAAAGAGAAACAGAAAAATATAAGCAACAAATTCCAATTAGTTGATTTTTTTTTCATTAGCAGTGGAGATTTTCGATTAGTTCTTATAGGCAACCCTTTTTTAAGAATGCAAGGACCTCTCTCTTCCAGCTATATTATGCTAGATTATTATCAGAAACCAGAGCTGCTGCTACTTTTTTTCTCTGCATTTTTATATTTAATACAGCTTTAATTATTGAATATTTGTCATGCAGCTGTGAAAAGTACAGAAGCCCTGCCATGATACTGGCATCTGCTGCAATTCAATTTCTTTACATGCTTGAGGAATTTATTTACATGAATGGAGACTTTTCACTAATCCCCAGAGTGGGCTGGTCCCATTGTTTAAAGCATTGCTTTTTAAATGGTTAATTTCTTCCACTTACAACTCTTTCAGGCATGTTTATTACTTCATACTGGAAAAAGAAAGCGAAAGAATATATTTAATCCAATTTTGAAGCCAAATGCTGTCATTTTCACAATATGGTTTAGGAATGAATTGCTGTTCATAATCAAATTGTATCAGAAGGGAGATATAGTTTTGGATTCTTTTTCATTCACAAAATGTATTTCTTGCAAAATTTATTCTGCTTTGTCAGATCAAGTTGTACAGGTGTTAAATTACTGCAGTTAGGCCTTGCCAGCCATACTAGGTATTAAATATGCTAGTCTCTTTAGTGGATTAATTTTGGTAGCACAGAAATATCGATCATTTTGAGTTACAGTTAGAAACACTGCCATGCATATTATTTTTAAAGTCAGACTTTCTTGTACTCTTCAAAAATAATCCTGGCTAGTATCTTTATGAATTATCTGAGCAAAAGAAAATACCTGAAGATATATCATGGTTTAAAATGTTGCTTTTAAGGTATTGCATAAGCCTTATTTCTAAGGCAGATTTGTCCTAGTTTAAATATTTTGTTCTCTTCAATAATGTTTGTGGAGAATGTTATCAAACCCTACAAGACACTAGTCTCATTTTCTTCATGATAACATCAATTAAAGTATTCCAACAAAATATTTCTGGATAGTGTTATTTTCATTCCACTGTACTTGTCTGGTCCTATCATCATGTTTTTGTAATGCATACAAGAATCTGCAAACCCAAAATCATTTAATGAACTAACAGCATTGGGCTATAACAGAAGAAGATTCCTTAACATGAATAGCTTTTTGGTCTAGCCTTGTCCCTCCCCCAAGGTTTCTGAAGATAAACCTCAGTTTTGGGGTTTGTATACTAAGCTAAGCCAAATCAAACCACATTAGTATGCAATGTGAATACTGTCAAAGTAAAATACTGTGAATTATTTGTGAAATGTTTGACTATTCAGCTGTTAAAATCCTGAAACACTTCTGTAAAAGTAGAACTTTTACAGAAAACTAACTACACTTCAGTTAACTCCAAGTATTAATTTAAAATATGACTAGTATTGAAGGTCTAATAACACTTTCCGTATGAATAATGTTATTTTCAAAGAAGAAACGGATATTTTGAATTGTTAGGGAATAGAACTTAGTTTTACTTTTTTTCAAATTAAAATATCACCAAATATTTCAAAAGACGTGCTTCCTACATTTAAATTTACAGATACTGTACAACTATACAGTATACTGGAATTAAAAGAGCCTTGGTGGTGCAGCAGACTAAAGTGCTGTTAAATAGCACCAGCTGCCTGAAGTTACTGCAAGTTCGAATCTCATCAGGCTCAAGGTTGACTCAGCCTTCCATTCTTTCGAGGTAGGTAAAATGAGGACCCGGATTGTGGGGACAATAATCTGACTTCGTATAAAAAAAAAAAACACTGCTTAGAGGGGTGCGAAAGCCCTACTAAGCAGGTACATACAAAAGTATGAAGGCTATTTCTTAATGCATTGTAAGCCACCCTGAGTCTCCGAGAAGGGCGGCATATAAATTGAACTAATAAATAAATAAACTGATTTTTGATTTCCTAGTGTAATTTGCAATCTTAGGATTTCTTGCTGCAGCCTATTCAAATAATACCCCAGACTTGAGTTCAGCCAAGATTAGTTTTCCCTTCTGCTGCTTAAGTGTATCATCTAATATCTAGATTCCTATAGGAAAATTTGCACAGATACAGTCTGGAGAGAGAGAGGGATAGATTTTTTTGGTGGCAGGTGTGTGTGTGTCCTTTAAGAGCTCTGAGCTTGTTTTCTTGCAGACATTTCATTATCAAACTAGGTAATCAGTGATAGAAGGGTATGGGATTTGCTCTTATTTTATATACTAGTGGTTTGCCTTATTAGTGTTGGTAGGAGTGTTCTTGGTAGTTCCTTGATTAGGCTGCTGTTTGCTGTTAGTTTCTTTGGCTGAGTTGATAGTTCCTTGATTGGGGTATTGTTTACGACATGATTATTGGTGTAGAGCAGGGGTGTCAAACTCAACGCCCGGAGGCTGGATCTGGCCCGTGGGGTGCTTAGATCTGGCCCCTGGGGCTGCCCTGGAAACAGTGAAGGACTGGCCCACAGTGCCTCTGCCAGCGAAAACGGGACTCAGGAGGGCTGCATATGGCCCTCTCAAGCTCAGTTTTTGCTGGCAGAGGGTTGCAGGAGGCCGTTGCAGCCGAAACAGAGCTCAGGAGTCCACTTTTGCTGGCAGAATGCTCGGGCCACCACAGGAGCCCCTGACATGAGTGACGTCAAGCTGCCCATGCCCACCCCAGCTCCCCAAGGTCAAATGCAACCCTGATGTGGCTCTCAATGAAATCAAGTTTTACACTCCTAGTATAGAGTTAATCTTGGTGTTAATCTCTGCTCATATGGTTCTTGATTGATGGTGAGGTGGCGTTTTGGTCTTGTTTCTTTTTTGGCTTTTTGATTGTCTCTTTCTTGAGTGGTATATAGATGTTTTTAGATGTTTTTTTATCTCTATGTGCCTGTTGATGGCTGATTTGTGTGACTGCTAGGCTTCTTTAATATTTTTGGACTTGGCTTGGACTAGAATGCTCAGTTTCTCAGTTGACTGAGAATTTCTGGAAGCCTGGCTTGATGTTACCTTGTTGGGTAATGAAATAACTGCAAGAAAACATCCAAACTCAGAGAGCACAAGGAGAACACAAGGACCCCAAAGTCCCCTAATCTATTAATATTCTCTTCCATTGGTATAGATATATATAGGCTTAACAGATGCATGTTTCTACATACAGTACACTGTTCTAATACATAGGATTTTAGACAAATCTAATAAGAAATAAATAAAATTAATATTAGAACTAATTTAATTTATAATTATCATTTTATTAGATAATACATTTTCTTACCAATTACCGTATTTTTTGGTGTATAAGATGGATCTTTTTACCCCCAAAAAGGGGGTGAAAATCTGGGTGCGTCTTATACACCGAATGTAGCCCGGCCCACCTGCTGGCCCCCACCCTTGGGCCATTTTCAGCCAGTTCCAGGTGGCAGGGATCTGGGTCGGGGCACAGCCTGAGGAACAACCCTCCCTCTTCGGGACGGTGGGGAGGGGGGAATCTGCCCAGCAGCTTCAGGGAACAAGGCGGGTGCCACGATTTGTGGCTGGTCACCCCTCTGGCTGCGCTGACTTCACTCTCCAGCAATGTGATGAGCCGCCGCCACCGCCGCCTAAGCCCTCTCTGCGCCCAGGAGCCAAGCCGAGCTGAATGGGAAACGTTCCTCCTTTCCAGCCATTCCAGACTTGCGATCCCCTTCCTGATTCCAAACATGGGTTGTGCAGAGACAAAAAAATGCACCGTGTTTCAGGCGGTGGATCTGGCCAGGAGGAAAGAAGTTGAGTCTGCTGAGAAGGAGGACGGGGGTGCGTGGCTCTGCAATGTGCAGAAAAACACTTTCAGGCGGCAGCGCTACAATCTCCCCCCCGAATCCAAAGCACTTCCCAGTTTCCCGCTGCACATTTCAGGGGAACTGGCCGCCACCTGAAGCGCAACTCTTGAGAATTGCATTGGGGAATCGGGGCGGTGATGGCTGGAAAGGAGGAATGTTTCCCTTTAGGGGCTCCCATTCAGCTCGACTTGGCTCCTGGGCGCAGAGAGGGCTTCGTTTTAGTTTAGTTTAGTTTTATTAAATTTGTATACCGCCCTACTCCTGAAGGACTCAGGGCGGTGAACAGGCACAAGATAAAATACAGAAATACAAAAGTTAAAAACAATTTAAAACCAAATTAAATAATATTGGCCCACGACAATTAAAATCCCAATAAATTTAAAACAAATTAAAATTTCAATTTAAAATTTAAAAGAAAGGGGAGAAAAATTAGGCCAGGCCGGCTTGCTGGAATAAGAGGGTCTTAAGAGCACGGCGGAAGGGGAGCAGATCTGGGATCCTCCATATCTCCGGGGGGAGCTCGTTCCAGATAGTGGGTGCCCCCACAGAGAAGGCCCTCCCCCTGGGGGCCGCCAGTCGACACTGCTTGGGTGACGGCACCTGGAGGAGACCCTCTCTGTGGGAGCGTACCGGCCGGTGGGAGGCTATTTGCGGTAGTAGGCGGTCCCGTAAATAACCAGGTCCTAAGCCATGGAGCGCTTTAAAGGTGGTAACCAAAACCTTGAAGGGCACACGGAAGACCACCGGGAGCCAGTGCAGCTTGCGCAGGAGAGGTGTTACACGGGAGTGCCATGTTGCTCCCATAACCACCCGTGCGGCCGCACTCTGCGCCAGTTGGAGCCTCCGCGTGCTCCTCAAGGGGAGCCCCATGTAGAGAGCATTACAATAGTCCAGGCGGGAGGTGACGAGGGCATGAGTGACTGTGTGTAGGGAGTCCCGATCCAGAAAGGGACGCAACTGGCGGATCAGGCGAACCTGATGAAAAATCCTCCCGGTCACGGCCATCAAGTGCTCTTCTAAAGACAGCCGTGAATCCAGGAGGATGCCCAAGTTGCGAGCCCTCTCCGTGGGGGCCAGCGATTCGCCTCCAATAGTCAGCGATGGCGTCAACTGACTATATCGGGATGCCGGGAACCACAGCCACTTAGTCTTGGAAGGGTTGAGCCTGAGCCTGTTCCTCCCCATCCAGATCCGCACAGCCTCCAGACACCGGGACATCACTTCAAGGGCATCGTTGGGGTGGTCTGGGGTGGAGATGTACAACTGAGTATCATCAGCGTACTGATGGAACTTCACCCTGAAACCACGGATGATCTCGCCCAGCGGCTTCACATAAATGTTGAACAGGAGAGGCTAGAGGACGGACCCTTGTGGCACTCCACATACGAGGGGCCTCAGGGACGACCTCTGCTCCGCTGCCAACACAGACTGCAACCGGTCAGAGAGAAAGGAGGAGAACTACCCTAGAACAGTGCCCCCCACCCCTAACTCTTCCAGCCGGTGCAGCATGATACCATGGTCAATGGTATCAAAAGCTGCTGAGAGATCTAATAGGACCAGGACAGAGGAGCAGCCCCTGTCCCGAGCCCTCCAGAGATCATCAACCAACGCGACCAATGCCGTTTCCGTGCTGTACCCAGGCCTGAAGCCCAACTGGAACGGATCCAGATACGTCGTTTCATCCAGATACTGGGGGAGCTGTCGCGCAACCACACTCTCAACAACCTTTGCCACAAAACGAAGGTTGGAGACCGGACGATAATTAGCCAACACTGCTGGGTCCAGGGAAGGCAGTGGCGGCGGCTCCTCACATCGCTGGGGAGTAAAGTCAGCGTGGCCAGAGGGGTGACCAGCCACAAATTGTGGCACCCACCTTGTTCCCCGAATCTGCAGGGCAGATTCCACCCCCCCCGACCATCCTGAAGAGGTTTGTTCCTCAGGCTGTGCTCTGTCCCTCCCCCCAGAGTATGCGAGGGGTCTCTTTGGGGGAAAGCGAGTAGTCCCTGCACCTCTCCCTTGCAGGAGGAGGAGGAGGGCGGCGCCACCTTAAATGCTGGTAGGCAGAGGTAAAATACTTCTTTCCTTGTTTTCCTCCCCCAAAATTAAGGTGCGTCTTATACTCCATTGTGTCTTATACACCGAAAAATACGGTACTTTCTATTGCAGCAATAAACCAGATTCAACATGCTTTAAGAA